CGTTTCTTAAAAGTTTTTTTTACAATTTTTTAATTATTTTATTTAATTTTATATTTATTACATCTTTCATTATACACAATAGAAACATCTAATTCTAATAGATATCTCTAATACGGTCAAAACAATCGGACATAAACATACAGAAAATTGTCTGTAATAATTTATATTACAAATCGATTTATATTATATGCAATTAGCTATCGTGTTTTGCGGATTCGATATGATAATCACAAAATATCATTTACAATCCAAATGTGTGCGGTTATTGATTTTCCAACGAATGATTAAATCCCATGATAAAATAATGGTAGGATATGCCAGACGCACACAGTATATACTGTTGTCGCAACATAATCATGTTACTTCAATATCTGGCTATTGACTCATAAGGCATAATCAGTTTTAAAAAGCGTTAATAAAACGCGACGAATTTGTCTAAATACTCGCTAATAAAAGGATAATTTCCTGTCTAATACAATTATAACATTCTTGATAAACAGTAGATAATAATAGATGAGTCATAAATGCTTTAAAATTTTGTGAAGGTGTTCCTCATAGATAAAAAGGAAGAACAAATATTCTTACGAATTAACATTAAGTCGCAAACGCTTCTCGTTATCGAAATAATGGACAAATACAGTAGTATCAAATAATGATTTTATTTAAATTTAAAAGTTTTAGATATTTTTTTGTTTATAAAAGATACTCAAAATGTCCATCATTTTCCACACATGCCTGAGCAAGAGAATCTTGCTTTGATAATTACATTTGTTCTTCCTTTTTATCCAGGAATATGAAATTTTAAGACATACTTATGACTCATCTGTTTAGTACATTAACAAATCAAAGGGTGAAGAGGTTTTTCGGGTTTGATGAGGAAAAAAACCATTTGATGAGGTAAATGGAAATTATATGTAAATAGAAATGAAAATAGCAGGATATACCGTTTAATTGCGCAGCGTTAATGAATTAGCAAATTGTAAAAAGGCAAGAACAATAACAATATAAATCATTGATCACTTACCAAGTGTACAGTAAGTAGGCAACAACACAACTGAAAGGAGTTGCGAGAAAGCACCGTTTATACCGGCTCGCCGACCAATGGAGGAAGATCAAAGTCGATGCTGCCCAATGGATAGTCGTTCACGGCGTCATTTCCCACCAAAGAACGCAGAGCTTGCGGAAATCGATAATTTCTAGAAGCGCGATGGCGGTGAATGGCGGTCGCGATCAGCCGGGTGATTTCTTCGCGAGGGTGAGTCTGCAACCCCTTTATGGGGACGTCGAGAGAATCAAGTTAGAAGAACGTTTGATAGCAAATTGGACTTTCTGTCAAGGAATAAGAAAAAAAAGATAAGAGAGAATACGAAATACATTAATTAAAAAAGATAAAAGAAAAAGGGGTAGTAAAAAATTTTCACTTACCCTGAACGTTAAATTATGCTCATAAAGTTCAATTAAACTAAGCGAATCATCCGTCTCGCGTATTATATTTCCAACTCATGCAGCAAAGTTAAATATATTTAATGACATTTCGCGACGTCAGCTGCTTGCATTTCAAAGGCTTTAAACAATACACTCATAGCGTATACTCGTAACGTTACGCAATAAAAACATTGCTAATTCTTATGTAATAGCATTATATTGATTTTGACAGAAATACATTTGACAAATAATACAAAAATACAGAACGTAAATAATTTTTAACTGTAATTATACTTTTGTCCTTATTAGCGGTTTTTAATGCTTTTTAAATATTCGTTTATCTTCTATGAGGCGTAAATTCACTTTATCTGTGCAAAGAGTAAAAAATATATCTATAAAGTAAATTAGTGTTATAGATATATTTGAAATACATATATTTCACTTATAATTTATCATTAGAGATAAATAATTAGTTAATTAAGTCTTTTACCAGCATTTATATGTTAGACCGGTATATTAAATATTTTTATGACAGCAACAAGTTGCATATTTTCATCACTTCATCCAATCCAGTTGATTGGAACAGTTGGAACGGCAATACGTAACACCGCTGTTTTCATACTTTGACCTTTCAATATCTCTTAATAATTTATTAATGTTATACCATCATTTCAAAAACTTTTATACGAGCTTATATCACTCAAATATAAAAATATTAAAGTGACTTTAATTTTATTACAGTGTAACATAATAATTTTTTATTGATTTTTTAAGCTTACACTTCAATATTCTGAATATTTTTTTTTACATCTAATAAATTGAAACAATTAACACACAATTACAAAAATAATTTTTGCTTTTTGAGTCTCAGAAAAAGTAAATTAAAAGGATAAGACATTAAAAACTTATTAAGCATTTATTGCTTTTTGATAAAATTATTTTACAATGATGGAATTACACAACGTTTTTAAATTTAAAGAAAATTGTCGTAGAAACGTCCTTCAAGGATAAGAGTAGAGACTTTATATAATCTCTCTTTGCTCAGTTGTTTATAAACAAGAGAGTTTAATTATTGGATTTACTGCAATAGCAGTGTTGTATTCATATTTGGTTCTTATATTTAAAAGCTTTAAGCACAGGATTAAGATGTCAATTACAGAGCCGCATATTAGCATCTTAAGATATAAATTAAGACATCAATCTTGAAATAAGAACGGACTATGAATACCGGTCATTATTAAAAAATTTATCATAATTAAGTTAATTCTTCCTCAGTTTGTTAAGTCATCCATATAATTATTTACATCTAAAGACCGATTTAAAAAAAAAGGGAAATCATAGAAGACAATTTCAATGAAAGCATTGTCAACATTCAGGAAACTATGATCTCATCATATTTGTAATATGTCCAAGTGTTCATTCATATGAATCTCGTCTGTCTTTGAGCTTTGGCCGCCTGTGCATTATTATTCGCTTTGATGTGCTTACTTATATTGAGGACACAAATGCCTTGCCACCCGAAGTTGTATCGGAGAAGGCATAAGGAATGAGAAAAAGGAATGAGAAGATAGGCATAAGGAATGAAAACGCATTTGTGTCTCCATGCGATACACACGAGGGCAGTTTAATAAGTCAGTGACTCCTTTTAATTTTTTTTTAAACTAAAATTTTATTAATTTTTCAAAAGTAGTCTTTTCAAAAAGTCACTGACTTATCAAACTGCCCCTGTATCTTATAAAAGTGAAGTAAATTGCAAAATACAACTCGCACGAGTCGTACGTGAATCTAGCAGATTATATCACAATAAATATCTCGTTGATCATGTCATCGCTGAGCGATTCAGGTGTCAGCGAATGGCGATAATTATCGTCACGCGGCCCTCATCATGTGTCTAGCCATCGCTATGTACGTCGCTACTGGAGCACTTAGTATAATTTGGCATGTCTTGTCGATAATCGGCGTGTTTCTGTTAACTTTACTGGGTAGAGCGATTTTGTTAGTCGGTCACACAGTAACAAGAGATCACACCTTGAGGAGACGTCGAGTTATTAGTGAACAACAAGAATCATACACCGATTCTGAAGACGATCGTGCTACCAGGAGTGAAACATCCCTGAAATCGAGGCACTCCTCTCAAATGATAAGATCTGCTAGCGCACAAACGAGTGAATCAACTCATGAAACTTCTATTTCCATCTGACACTCGTCAATTGGTATATTTCTTTAAGTATATTTCTTAATACTATGATCGGTATTCATAGTCCATTATTATTTCAAGACCATCTTAAATAATATCTTAAGATACTAATATGTGGTAAGACTGTACTTACGACAAAGAATCGACTTTGAATACCGTCCTGTGATGCTTGAATTTATAGTCAGCGTGCGCAAAATAAATTTTTCTGCTCGTCATCATTGTTCTACGGTATATTACTTTTTTTACAAACTTTTTTCAGATATTGATTATGCGAGGTGCTACACAAGAGAATAGCGCTGAAAATTGTACCTTCAAATATTCAGAAAAAAACATTTGTATCTGCAAAAATGTAACTGCTGATAGTTATGTAAATAAATTACTGTAAAAATAATTCCAAAATAATTACATAAAATTGTGAAAGTATTGTATATATACGATTATATTTGCATCAATTTCTGCGTGATATTTCTTTGTCTTTATCTGGCACTTAACAAATTGTCTGTCAAATGTGTTGACAGATTTATTTTTATAGATTTATGGAAGCAGCACCATTTGATTCACTCGGTTTTACGAGATTTTAATTTATAACGATTTTAAAATGAATTTTATATTTATTGATATCACCTTTGTGTAGTTATTCTTTAATCACAATAAACATAATTTTAACTTATCTTTAAAACAAAACTTTATTGGATACATTGATTAAAGATAAAAGCTTTATTTTTAATCGCTGTTCTTTAATGTATTTGGAAATTAATCACAAAAATATTAGCAATAGGAGCATAATAATTATATTCTTCAAACGTGTAAAATATAATATTAATTTCAATAACAAATATTTAATATTATAAGAAAGCTTATGTATATATGTACGATATTATAAAGTCAAATATGATATCGTAGGAAAGCTCATCTATTCTTTGTAAGACAGTATAAGTGGACGGAATATGTTAATACGTCATAAGAAATACTTACAATATATATATATATATATATATATATATGTATATATTTTTTTTATATATATATAATATATATATAAAGATATATATATATGTATACAACTACTTTAACAAATTCTTTGTGCGTACTAGTCTGTTATATACAACGGCAGTGTTCTTGTTTAAATTGAAGAATTACTTTGATCACTTTACTTGTATATAAATATAAATGTGTATATATATATATATAAAACGAAAAAAGTATATATATGCATTAAATATTCGATTGATAAAAAAGGTATATGTAAAAACCATTTTTTGAAATAATTTTATATAAAAAAGAGAAATACTGCAAAACGATTTTATCAAAATAAATTTAAGATAAAAAATTATATATGTATAGGAAGAATTTTGTTTCCTTTGTAAAAAAAAGAGAAATGATAATATTCCTCTTTTTTTTATAAAACATGATCACAAAAAACATACAAATACCTTTTTTATCTATTGTATACAGTTTTGTATGGTATTACGTATATATAATTATTTAATTAACAGGCATAGTTGACACTGCACTATGAGGCGTTGTAGGTCGAGAACCGGCAATAGAATGTGTCGTTGATGCATTTAGAGACTGCATTGTACCAATCTGAAATAATAACATGTTTTAAATTTAAATCTTAATGTTTATAACCATACGATTTCTGTAATATACGTTACGATTACGATATAATTAATTTAATAATATATCATACCCGCAAATGAGCCAGATCTTCTAATCTTGTTAGATCACATAATTCAAGATATAAAGAATAAACGATAAGCCAACCATATGCAGAAACGCAGAGAAATATTATCCATAGAAGACACATCATGATATTATATGCAAATATCATGTCATTTACAATGCTGAAGAATATAAAAGCAAAGAATCGGAAAATTGTGAAAACGGCAAAACTGTACAACCATGGTACCATTCTCTTTTCATGTTCTTTTCGCAGAGCTCTGATCAATATAAAAGAAGTCACAAAGATAACTATTCCACCCAACATCGAGAACAATGCAGACACAATCAGAGCATTTCGAACTGGAAAAAGAAACAAATAATATTCTATGTTTTGATCAATTTTTGAAATTTATATTTACAAAATTTTTTTTTAAATAAACAAATGGCCTTACTATGTTGATTGCCCACATAAACAAATTCATATGATATGATATAATATCCATAGTGTGTAGAGCCAGGCGCAGCTTGTGACAGACAGTAGATATCAAAAATAGCTGTACATATCGTGAAAAAGGCTAGGCACTGTAAGAATATTTATTCTATATTACTTAAATATATTACAAGAAAGCAGTTTCAAATACTGTTTTTGTTAAATGCATACCAATGAAAATACAGCGGTAAACATAGCACCTCTTTGAATGTCGAGTATGTAAGCATGCGTCACTATCGGTTTTTGATACCATGGAATCTTTACGCTGCGAGCAGACCTTGACGATCTGAGATTTGCACTACTGCGAGTAGTGGTTACATGGGAATATACAGATGGTGTTCCCATGCTGGGAGACTTCTTTCCATAATGCATCTTGACCCACTTGCAAATAAAATAAAACATGATCAACGTATCAAATGAAACAAAGAATTCAATAATACAGGATTTCATTTATTCAAACATGTTAGCAGATAATTCTGATAACCAAATTTGAATAACAGAGGTAGATATAGTTCTCTTTTCTATCACTATTTGTTAGTTCCGATAATATCTAGTAAATATCAATTAACAGAATTGTTACTTATTCATATAATATCTGTTTCTACCAATGTAGAAATAGGTATTATATGAATGTTAAATTAATCTTTAACTTGCTTTTTATCTCTTTCTAGTTCTAAGAATTAGAAAAGAATAAAATTAAACTAAGAAGTTAATACTTATATTGGTAGAAATGGACATAAATGTGGAGTATGATAGACGGAGTTCTACTGTATTCTATTTACTATAGTTTATTTATACTTACGATTTATAGAGATGTTAAATAGGTAATCAATTATGCAAGTTCCTTACAATAATGCGATTAACGATATGTATTTATGTATTGTTTCCTCTTCTGGAACTGAAAAATCACATAAACAGACAATAACAGCATAATAATTAACGCTGTGATTAGCATTTTGTTTTTTGCCAAAGACGTTCAATTTTTTGCATAAATTTATTACCAATAATTGAATCATAGCAGTAAATGCAAAAAACATACGCTGATAATAATAATATAAATTTAATAACAAATATATTATGACTCATAGTGTAATTTTTATCAAATTTGCGATTTTTGTGCTACAATATTAGAAACGCTAGTTATTTACACGCGCGTATTCGTATGAATGCACTCACTTATTGCGTTTGCATGCTTTAGAGCGTATGCAAAACGTTTTGTACTAATTTTTCGTGTAATGGACACGCCTTGTCAAATATTCGAAACGCTGTTTCAGTCGCTTGGGTCGCTTGTATGCTATTACGGTCATGGCTAAAATGTGTTAGATAGAGTGGAAGGTATCAAATGAACGTAATGAAAAGACAGGTGGAGTGGGTGGAGTGAAAGTCAAAGTATCTTTCTAGAATGAGTTTTGGAACGCACCAATATATATACGCATATGTTGTAAAAGTATGAACAATTATCATAACATAATTTAAGTGATTATAACAATATAATATGAGCGATTACGATAGTCATCGATGTATATCTTATAAATAAAACATTAATAGGATATCGTTTTGATTAACATTATTATTATTAGTTATTACCATTAATAAATCTATATCACAAATAAAATAAGGTATCTCAGATATTTTGATTTTCGATAAAGTTCCGATTAATTTAATTGGCAGTCTAAAATAAAATTTCGAATTATATAATTATATATACATTTTTTCTTTCTTCTCATATGTATTCAATAATAATTAAAAAATTAGTAATTCAATGAAGTTAAATAAAATAATACAGATATAATTACTTATAATAAGTTATAATTTCTTTAATCTTATCTAATTATTTAGGTATTATTTTATGACATAAACACCGATTAAATTAGCCGCTGTTTACGTTTAAATGCCTCTAGCTGCGTATTCTGTAGTCAGAGACATCTGTTACTTATGTCATTTTGAAAGTGTGAACATTTCCCACTAAAATCCAGTCAACAAACGCTATCCTTTGTTTACATGTGCTTGATTTCTATTACTGAATTAAAATGAAACGCGATAAATTGTTTTTCCGACGTATACTTCTACACTACTTTAATTTGAAAACAAGTGCAGCTGAAACTCGTCGATTGCTTGCGGAAACTTATGGTGAATCTGCTCCAATGGAAAATTACGTAGAGATTAGTTTCGACGATTCAAAAGTGACGATTGTGACATTTACAACAAAGAACGGCCAGATCAAATGGAAAAAGTTTGAAGATAAACAACTGCAAACTCTATTGAAAGAAAACTCTGCTCAAATACTCCAAGAATTGGCTCGAAGTCTAACCATTTCACGACATTTACGAGCCATATGGAAAAGATTCAGAAACTAGCGGCTTTCAATGCAACCCTAATAACTAAAACTAATAACTAAAAAAAAAACTAGTCAAAGTCCTCGCTGATAGAAATATACATCTTTCATAATGATCGAAATGCGCTATAATTGTTTATATTCTTAAAGAAACTGTCAGAACGCCGAAATGCCTCCATCTAGTTATTTGTTACGTTCGCGAGCCAATCACGTTGGATTTTGAAATTACGTACGCAGATGCTTTGTTTCTCTTTCGCGTGGGAGGGATTGAGAGGGAGCGAGAAGCAAGGACGCTGAACGCTCTCGCCGCTCTCGCCGCTCTCGGGTGCACTCGGCTGCGTCCATTTTCTGAACACCATGCAAAGCTCGAGCTCGGGGGGAAATGAATGCGACGAATACAAATAATGGAGAGTGTGCGTCTTTCGGTTGATTCGCCCGTAAAGTTGTGATCTCCGTATGTGGCATGCGTTGAGTGATGTTGCGAGTCGCCGAGTCGTGTGTTTTTCCGCTCGATGAAATGTTGTGCCTTACGTGTCTCTGACTTTTCGTATGTCCCGAGCCGAGACGGGATTTGTTGTCGCCTGCGAATGAAGACTGCAGGGAAAGACTCGCGTAGTCTCACAGAGTGAACGAGAAGTATCCGACGAGACGGGCTGGCCGGTATCCTGTCAATCCTGTGACGTTTCGTGAAATGTCAGTTGCCGCGGTGTCAAGACTGTGACACCTGTGTTGTGAGTACCACTGTGACTCGTCAGATTGAGGTTAGACACCCGCCGCGTTCCGAATGTAAACCTGTCTTTATCCCGCCTACGTTGAATGTCGAAGTCGAACTAAGCTAAGTCAAAAACCCACCACCACCGACTCCTGTCTCCGTGTTTGGAAGGCTCGCACAACTCGCAGACTGTTTGGGGAACGTAGTTGTATGTACAATTGTGGTGATACATCTCCCGGTGCTACGTCTATGCATTGATGTGTGTATATACCGTTTGTGTGTTATGTTCCTATCTCGGTGAATAGGGATTGTAGAATCATGTAAGTGCGCATCCACTTACGTAGCGACTAACTGTAGAAGTTGTAACTTAGTTTTTTGTGTACCGAGAAAGATTGAACGTAGAAAAAGAATGAACGTAGCAAAGGAATGCGTTTGTAACGTTATCGCTTCTAATGGTATGCGTTCCTTACAGGGCAGATCGAGATTATGATATGGGTTCTGCAACAGAAATGATGGTAAATGATTTTGATGACGAACGAACATTGGACGAGGAAGAAGCCTTAGAAGGTAGCGAGGATTCTCACAACGAGTTGTCCAACTTGCAAAAGGTATATCTCCGCTGTATCTGATATTAACACTTTGCACATTATATATTATACATTTGTCACTTTGTAACAAAGTTCTGATCCCGACTATTCTAGGATCAAGCCTGAGAAATGAAAAAATCGAGCCCATAAATAATTACAATTATGATAAGTTTCCGCAACACTTTGGACTCAAAGTGCGTTCTCGTAGTGAGATTCCATGTTTAGTCCATAAAGTACGCTCGATGTAATAATGATCTATTTTTGTCTCTTTGAGCAAGGAAGGTGATATGCCACTGAAAGATCTTCTTGCCATGTACGGATACGGTGATCCCTCGACGGAGAATTCCAACAGTTCCGATCACATGCTGCTACCATCTGGAAGTGGTAATCCCGAGACTCAGGAGCGTTACTCGGACAAAGGTGACAACGATGCAGACGACGACGATGATGATGACGAGGCTGATGCAACCAGTAATGAGCCAGACCTTAAACAATTCTATACAGAAATGTTGGTTAAGGGAAAGGATAAGACAGCGGCATTAGTGGGATCAACGACAAAAGGCAATAGCAGTATTAGTGCTGGCAGCAGGAAACGTAGAATCGATGACGATGAGGACGATGATGAAGATGCCGAAGCCGAAGATTGCTCGGGTATTCGAACCGGAAGCAGGAAGAAAAATAGAGCGTCGCCTACAACGGAAAGTGCTAATGCTGTTGAGTGCAGTGTTATAGTTAATTTAGGGGGAGCTAGTGCTACTGATAGCACTATCGAAGAAGGTAATGCCAGTGGCGCAATCGATGGCCCAGAAGATAGGATAGTCAGTGCGGGAATAGGCAGTGGCAGTTCGAGATTGTTACGGAGTGTTTCAAGGCCGCAGAGTGAAGAAGAAGAGGACGATTGTGACTACAGTCCAGACGAGGAGGAATGGAAGAAAACAATCATGGTTGGTACTGATTACCAAGCAGCGATACCAGAAGGTTTGTGTCGTTACGACGATGCGTTACCATATGAGAATGAAGATAAAATGTTATGGGATCCCAGCCATATATCCGAGGAAGATACAGAAGAGTTCCTAGAACGCGCGCAACTTCCAGCGGTAAAGGGCGGTTCATTGCCGGCTGGATCACATATTAGAGATGACGAGCAGGCTTTGTATCTCTTACTACAGTGTGGCTACAACCTTGAAGAAGCATTACGAAGACGTCGAATGAATGTACTTCCTCCTACGGATGCAGTGAGTCTTTGGTCAGAAGAGGAATGCCATAATTTTGAATCTGGATTGCGGACTTACGGAAAGGATTTTCATCTTATACAGAAAAATAAGGTATGCGGTATATATGTAGAATTAAACCTTAAATCTTACATTATTAAAGATTGAAGTGAACGTTAAGAATAGAATGGTTCCAATTTATTAATTAAAAATACTCTCTCTGAGGTTTAATTTTGCATTGCTAATATTATTATATCGCTTAATTTTTTTTCACAACCGTATAAAAAGCGTTACCATTGTACGGTACAACAAAAGTACTATTGTAGAAATTTTTTTCCAATGAAATTAAAATGTATAATTTTATATTACACTATAATTATATTATACAGTTAATTTAATACGTACAAGTTGTTGCTGTATTGTGATGACTCAAACTTGACAATAAACTTTATAGTGAATCATTACTTTCTTCAGGTGAGAACGAGATCGGTCGGAGAGTTAGTACAATTTTATTATTTGTGGAAGAAAACGGAGCGCCATGACATATTTACGTACAAAGCGCGATTAGAAAAGAAAAAATATGCTCTGCATCCCGGTATCACGTGAGTATTTTCTCTATCGCAATTTTAAACCTTTACATTAAAACACGAAAACTTTTTGTAATGGATATATTACTTACAATCTATTAAAATATTAAATCTAACACTCTAAAATAACATTACCCAATTAACACTTTACAATATAATTGCTTTCGTTAATACAATTACTGCAAACGTGAATGACAGAACCATTAAATCGCAAGCAGGGACTATATGGACCGATTCCTTGAGGAGCAAGAGGGAGTGCGAGATCGCAGTAGCTCACCAAACGTTCATTGTTTGCTCTACGGTGATACCAAGCGGCAAAGATCGAGTACCAGCGTGACCAACAACGACGAGTCCAAATCAACAGATGCTTGGGATGGAAACGTGATTGATCCATTGGCGGATGTTAATGGTCCAACACCACCGCCACCACCACCGCCTCCGCCACCACCGCCCTTAATAACGTCAGCAGTGACTACCATGTCCTCAATATGTAATTCCAGCGCTTTAACCACACCGACATATTGTTCACCATCGACTCGTCATCCAGACTGTCCTTCGTCTGACTCGGGTTGTGTAAATCCCCTAGCGTGGAGTGGTCTAACATCCCGAAGTCAACCTACCTCTTCAGTTATTACAACAATAACGATAAATACCACCACAGCCACTACGTCCACAGCAATGGTCACAAGTCTCGGCTCGACAAATACAGTTACCACTAGTTCTACCGTTCCTGCTGCTAGTATTGCCGCCACTGCTGTCCCGAATAATTACTATCATCAACGAGTAACATCATCCAGAAGCAATGATTCTCACGACACACCCTCGCCCGAGAACATTTTACCTCATCTGCCCCCTTAGCGTCTAA